AAATTGTACACACTATCTATAGCAAGAATTTGACTACGGGACGCCGGTCTGTTATGGGAGTAATGTTATATAGTACCAATTTATAGATGCTTAAGTATTCACAATTACTAATAATAATCTTAGTAATAAGACTTTACTACGACTAAGGGATTTTCTCACTGGCTGATGGGATTTGGAAAATTCTAGAAGTATTCAAATAACTTTCCATTGGTTGTGCTGGGTCACATGAATACACAAGTTCCGAATATATTGAGTAGACTTATCAGTCACTTTTGGGTATGTTGTGAAATATAGACGTAATAGAAACAAAATATATGGAGAGAACTGAGCAATCAGTCCCATTCCTGTTTTGGAGTCATTTCTTATTTATTGTGTGTTCCTTACTTTGAATTCACTTCATTATACTGTAAGTCCCTCTCACATTTTCATCCATAACTATATATATATATATATATATATATATATATATATATATATATATATATATATATATATATATATATATATATATATATATATATATATATATATATATATATATATATATATATATATATAATATTTCTTACATTTACTTAGTTTGTGACGATAGAAGCGTAAAAAATATAATGTCCCCCTTTTTTGCATTGTTTGTTTATATTCCTGGACTAAATGATCCGTACGATATTTTTGGGGTTAAATGGTTGAGGAAAGTGTTCGATATGTGGAGAAGCAAGGCGCTGATACGAGGTATATAACGGCACTAATAACCGAAACTCGATAATCCCCATACATGCACCGTAAGAAGCTGGTATGAAGTATATGGTCATAGTAGTTGAATACATTTAAGTATGACACAAATTGGGGTCAAATTTGTAAATGCATGAAACTTGGCAATGGCCCAAACGATTCAGATACTGATTGTTTCATTCGTTAGTAACGATCTATTTTCTTGATCGGTGCATGTAACTTGGCAATGGCCTAAACGAAGTCAAGAGAACTCTGTGACTATAGAATTTAAGAAAATGTAAGGATATATGCAGACATTAATAAAAGGGACTTCAAATAACGTGATAGCAAGGCATATACTTGTGGAATGGCTTTAGACAGGTGAGCAAATGCCAGAAAATGTCCAGATCTATTCACTCAGATTCGGAACAAAATGAATCTAAGAAGTATACTGGATAAAGTGGCAGAAAATAGCAATATTTGTACTTGCTAGCTTGCACAATAAGTATTAATACATACATGGAAGCCCACAAGGTAGACAATATCTGATTAAGATGGGAAAGATAGCATGAACTAGGCTTGGAATAGTATGATAATCCTGATGTCCATAAGTGCATAATTATTAAATATATGTATAAGAAAACCAGTAAGAAATAAACATGGCCACTAATAGATGATGAAGCTGAAATGACAATGTAGCATATGAGGTGAAAATTAATGATTGGTATGTGCAGCTATTTAACGTCTTTGAAGTGTTCAACATTGTACGATATTATCTATAGTTAAGAAGCGGAATAGTTCATTGATCAATATAAGAGTGAGCCAACTAGCGAGGTACGCGCCATGACATCTGTCTCATCTGTCTCTGTGCAAAGGTAATTATATAGGGATGAATCTGAATATATCTACCAGATGTACTAGAGGACCATAGACCAAATGTTTAGATAGATGGTCTAGATTTCCAGCCCTAGCAACACTAGTAGTCTCCCCCCCCCTCCGTAAAGGAGTGTCCATTACAACGATGTTAATCAAATTCTAACCTGGAGAAAATAGCCCTAATGGTAAGGAAAAGGAATGTTCTACTTCATGCGCGATCAGTTTCAATGAGAAACGGTAATCCCCTAATATCCCAATAGGATGAAATTACCTCATCGCACGGTAAGGTCATACAAAGAGTTCATATTGCATAGCATAATCATTGATATCCACACCTTGACGGATAATGAAAATCCTTACGAAAATTAATTTCTTTTCTCGTGTTCTATATGTTCTTCAACAATATGTGGCTGAAATCTAGGAGATAGGAAATTTTTACATTCAAAGATATCTGACGGTTCGTTCCGAATGCTTGCATGAAAACCTGCGCACAAGCCATTGATTAAATATGTTATGAAATCTATATCAGAAGGACCATGGAGTTAGATGGAATTTAATCCCAAAAGAGCTGTAAGCATGCTCATGCAGCAGACGACAATGAACCGTCAAAAACGAATTAATGAGGGAGGAAAAATGATCATGATGAAGGCTTTAAAACAATGCCGTAGTATGTGTAATTATACAAGATTGTGAATATCTTCCTCTTCAATTCTGATTAAATAAAACCTAATTCATTTTGCAAATGGTAAAAAAGTTGAACCAATCATATTCCAAAAGACGTTGCAAACACTTTAGAGGGAAATCAAACTTTTCATCAAGACCCTTTGCTATTCTATACAACATAATACTTTTATATTACACAACATGCTGTTACAAAATTGGGAGAACTAAATGAAATCACCATGAAAACTAATCTTTATGACGTTGTTGGTCCAATTTGATTTGACTGAACAAAATAAAAGACCATTTTTGTTAGCGATGGATAGTTGCACAAAGGTCACTTGAGACATCAGAGATTCGATCACGTGTTCTCATGGGGGTATATGCTAATTAACCTTTCAGCGTATCAAGCAGTTCTAGCAGAATATATGTTGCGTATAGTGAGAAGATTCAAGCGTACAATTATTATTTACAGTGCTTAATTTGTTCTTTCAGGAATATAAAATGTCCAGAGCATTACATTACCTGGCCATTAGCGTTATGCATGTTGTACTTGGTGAGTTATTGCATAATCGTTAAACTGTCTTATTCAGTTAAACTCTGTCCAGATACACGCTAAGCTCCTTTTCGCCGCGCGATGTTTCTGGATTGTCACACAACATAGAATGGACCATGGCATACGATATTATGGATGATAGTCTCAAACCACTCCAAACTATACAGACAGAATGTTAGGTTATATGTGTGATTTGAAAATAATTGACATATCCAACTATGTATTCTGTCCTGTCGATATGACATATATTCCATTAAAACTTAAATGCAAGAAAAAAAAATAGGTAAAAACTCTGTTGAATGGGTATATTTTTAAGATAATGAGCACATTGCAGTTGTATCGAATACGTTATTTATAAAACATTCTCTGATAACAATTATTATATCATTTTATAGCAGTAACAATAAGTCACTTAAAAAGTATTTAAAAATATTTTATAGTGGCATTTTATCAGCCGAGTAACATCATCAGATTCATGTTTTTGATTCTCTGTGATGAAACTAATCACCCAAGAATTATCGTTGTTCTTCATTGTGAAAATTTCCTTCCAGGCGCCGGACCCTTGTGTTTCGAATGTAATGATCTTCCAAGTCCCCAAACATGCCAGTATATCACTCAGTGCGGAGAACACGAGGTGAAGTTTTCCTCATCACTTTTAGACATTATATTTTATGGTACAATATTATTTTAATGCGTATATAATGATAATCAACATGCATATAATACAGTTGTTTTTAAATTCACTCCGTTATTGGTAGACAAGTTGTTTTGACATTCTTCTTAATTCAGCACAAACAAACCGTATCCTTCTTAAATATATACATAACTACACGACAAAAGTTATAACAAACAGTAGGGGCGATAAAAGGATAACTTGTAATAATATAGTGATTTGTACAGGGAAGTTTTGTCAGTAATTATATTTTACTCTGTTCAATATTTGTTTTTATCGACATCAGACGAAACTACAATGCAACATTCGCGTCTTTTTACGTGAATGAATTTCAGTTTAACTTATATTTGTGTCTCTGTTATTTTAGTGACATTTCGATGTGTCATGATTTAGATGGAGGGCTCCCCTCACAATCCTTCAGACACAATGAGACATAAGAGTTTCTTTAATTACAGGACTGCTCTGTTGAGTCTGTGGTGACATCTGGCGGATTGACACTTTTTAATGTCGGTTGTAGGCCCAAAACCGTAAGTTTGAAATCATAATATAATCCATCTAATACGAAATAAATGAACTAAATATGTCGTACAAGATAGTATGCAGACTAATATATGTTGTTCATTTCGATAAATAAGGTAGATAACATATGGAGCAAAGAAAGTGGTTCGGTTAATAAAGAGGTCAGTTAGATAAGCTTCTAGTTAGGCGCCAAATATGTTTCATTTAGATCACTTTAGCTTTATTTTGCATCAGAAAGTCTGAACTTTCATATAAATAATGTTTGAGACAAAAATATCAATATCCTTGAAAAAAAGAACCTTAAACGTTGGATTGAGCATAGACTGTTTGTTTTGGCTAATGCTAGAACATCATATTTTTTATCAGCGTGTGCTTCAACAGAAATACAATATGTTGTCTATGCTGTCTATATCTCCATAGATTTGAGTATGTTGTCTCTGCTGTCTATATCTCTATATATTTGAGTATGTTGTCTATGCTGTCTATATCTCCATATAGTTGAGTATGTTTTCTATGCTGTCTATATCTCCATATATTTGAGTATGTTGTCTATGCTCTCTATATCTCCATATATTTGAGTATGTTGTCTATGCTGTCTATATCTCCATATATTTGAGTATGTTGTCTATGCTGTCTATATCTCCATATATTTGAGTATGTTGTCTATGCTGTCTATATCTCCATATATTTGAGTATGTTGTCTATGCTGTCTATATCTCCATATATTTGAGTATGTTGTCTATGCTGTCTATATCTCCATATATTTGAGTATGTTGTCTATGCTCTCTATATCTCCACCTATTTGAGTATATTGTCTATGCTGTCTATAACTCTATATATTTAGTATCTTGTCTATGCTGTCTATATCTTCAGATATGTTAGTGTGTTACTTATGCAGTCTATATTGTATGATATTCCAGAATGGTGTTATACTGTCTGTATCTCCAGATTTTTTTCAGTATGGCGTTATGCTGTCTTTATTTAAAGATATTTTATTATGGCACTTACGGCCTCGTGGCCTAGTGGTGCGAGCGTCCACCTTGGATACGGAAGGTCGCTGGTTCAGTCCCCGGCTGAGTCATACCAAAGACTTCTAAAAATGGTATAAACAGCTGCCTCGCTTGGCGCTCATCATTATGATGTTAGTGTTAGGATTGGTCGACCTGCTGTCAGGATAATGTGACTGTGTGGGACATGATGCTACATGTCTGAGGCCTGATGTCCAAGTGCTAGATAACATTCTAAATTGCCACATGGCAATCAGCAATGCTATATGACTGACAAATTGTTAAAGCAGCGTTAAAAATTCAAATATCACACACACACACACACAGACACAGAATAACACTATGCTGTCTGTATTTCGTGACGCTACATGTCTGAGGCCTGATGCCCAAGTGCTAGATAACATTCTAAATTGCCACATGGCAATCAGCAATGCTATATGACTGAAAAATTGTTAAAGCAGCGTTAAAAATTCAAATCACACACACACACACACACACACACACACACACACACAGAATGACACTATGCTGTCAGTATTTTGTGATATTTCAGTTTGGCGTTATGCTGTCGCTACTGCCAAATATTTCAGCATGGTTTTATGCTGTCTGTATTTCCAGATATTTCATTATGGCGTTATGATGTGTGCATTTCCAGATATTGCATCGTTTCGTATGCTCTCTATACTTTCAACAAACTCAAAGATAGTTATTATTCTTAATTGAAGCGTTGACCAAATTTAGAACGAAACATGTTATATACCGAAGAAAACCAAACTCTTTATTTTAGAGCAAAATATCCAAACAAATAACAAAACATTTTAATATATTTGTTTAACATCTTATGCATACATAAAACAACGTAGAACTATAGTCAATATAGTGTCAATGCAGAGTAGAAATGCGCATATAACACTTACAAAGATTTCACACAGAGACGACTACCTCCCTTAATATCGTGTAAACAATAATGATCATTTTGCAAAAGGATTATAACATTTTTCGACGCGAAGTAGAAAGTGTAATTTGCTGTGTGTTCCGGAAACTTTAACAGTTGCACGATATTAGTAGCATAGGTACATAAGTGAGTTAAAAACCAAACGAAATTACAGAAAGACAACAGTCTAACAGAGCAATAGACAAATTGTGTTAATATTTATAATGTGGAGTGATCGGTACTTAGTGTCATGTATTAACTGAGAGTTGGTGGCGCCGTAGAGGACAAAAGTTGGTCTAATCAGAACGTTGCCGTTGAAAATTTAATGTCATATGTCCAGAATTGAAATTTCACGTGTTGTATAAATGTACTTGTCCTTAAAGTTCCATTTTCTAGGTCGAGATTTTAGATTGTGTCTTCTGAATTAAACAATTGTGTTTGAAAGTTATATTTTCTATATCGAGGTTTATATTGTTTCGTTTGATTTACACAGCGGTGGTTGAAATTTCGATGTCCTAAGTCAATAATTCCTAATTTACGTATTGTGTCAAAGAGTTTATGTTGAAAGTTACAGTTCATATGTTGAGTATTTATATTTAGTATGTTAAATTACACAGCGCTTTTTGAAAATTCGATGTCCAATGTCGAGTTCTTAGATTGTATCCTCTGAATTACACTCGGGTTGTTGAAATTTTAATGTCATATGTCGAGAGTTTCACTTTAACACACTGAATCACATTGATTGTGCTGAAAGTTCCATTTTGTATATTGAGGTTTTAGATTGTAGTAACATTACACATGCCCACTTAAACAATTAAAAATAATATCAAGTATTAAGTTACATCATTCATGTATTCAATTATGAGGCGCCATTACATTTCATGTGTTTACAGTTTGATAGATACAATTCAGAGGTCGAGAATTACTATGAATTTCATCTTTAGAGGTCGCTCTCGTGAACGAACCGCATTATTTTTAAACAAGGGGGCTGCTTCTCGTTGCTGTGAAAGTAAACAGATGAAATCTGAACACTCGCCATGTGAAATTGAACATTCATCACAAACAGTTGCATACAGCGTGTGAATGAGGGATTCTCGAAATATGTCATTATAATTTCAAGCACTATGCAACTCAAAATAAACACCGTAAAACGTCGACATAGGAAATATAACTTTAAACCACCGCTGTATAATTAAACATATCAAATCTAAAATCAAATCTTGATCATGAAAATGGAACGTTATGGATAAGAAATTCGATCGAACACGTGACATTTTATTTCTCGACATACGACATCCAAATTTCAACTGCAACATTCACATTGGAGTAGCGTCTTTCCGGTACGACGACTCATGAGAGAGGTTCTTCATAAAAAGCGCCGGAATTCTGCAGTGAGTTCAAGACATTTTTTTTAATGAAACAAGAGCAGACGTGTCCGAGAGCGAGCTGGGTGAGAGCATTTTTCAACTCTTGATCGCTTGCCAGTGGCGTGTGACTTGTGGAATTCTGAGCCAAATTAATCTTATTTTAGAAAATGGTTTCTATCCTATAATGCGCAAGCGGTCTTGTCTGACACTCTAATTAGTTTACACTCTGCTATCGTGTGAATCTCATCATGCTGTTTAGCTATATATATATATATATATATATATATATATATATATATATATATATATATATATATATATATATATATATATATATATATATATATATATATATATATATATATATATATATATATACCAACCGGCAATCTCTACTAGTCCACAAGCTGTGGCAACTTCCTCGAACCCTACAACAGTGAAGGCAGCAACAATGGTAGCGAGTGAATGTCTGCAAAAGGGTGGTGTAAACACCATAGATGGCGTGGGCACATCTTTGTTGTTTTTTTGTTTTTTCTCTAGAGACAGCTCGTTGAATTCCCAAGTCTGAACCTAAACTGAACAGTTCAGAAAGTGGATTGCTCCGATTACATACTTGGCTATTGAGTTCAAGTAGCAGAATCTAAATATAGATAAGGTTTGAAATCTTATGGAGTGTTTCAATCAGTACTGGGAATGGTATGCAATTTGGCTTTGAGCCTAATTGGCCCACTTCGAGAAAGCAAATGGGGGAACAGATTGTGTATTGAACTTTTGTCAATAAGTTTCTAATATGTAGGTTTTATCGATGATTAAAAACTGCAGCTCTTGGGTTGATTAGGGTGAATGTCCATAAGTAGTGTTCTTGCTGAAGTGGGTTATGTTGGATGTGGGGATATGTATGATGACTTAGACAGTTTCATCTCTTCCCATGTCTTGCGCTAATAAGAGCTGTGTGTGTGTGTGTGTGTGTGAGAGAGAGAGAGATTTGGATTTTTAACGTAGCTTTAATAATTTTTCAGTCAAATCGCTACAATGTCTGCTATGTGACAGTTGATTGTGATGTTTAGCACTGTGGCTTCGTGCCAAATACACGTAGAATAATGTCCCACCCAGTCACATTATCCTGACACTAGGTCGACCAGTAACCTCTTAATGCTAAGTGCTAAGTGAGGCAGCTGTTTGTACCATTTTTTTATAAATTTTTGGTACGACTAGGCTGGAATAGGTATAGATAGATTGCAATATGATTTAGAGCCTACAGGGACGTTAGTCAGCATTGCTATATCGTCAGCTATTGTGGGTAATCCCGTGAACGTGGTCCCAACTGATGCTCCATGATTATTTAGTTGGATTATATGAAGATGGGCGTTGTCAAAGCACTTGTAAAGGATGTGGGATAGTTTGGAGCCTAGATTAATATTCTGGTCAATGTGGAAGTAGCTGCTATGCTGGTCTAGCAATTTTACGTTGCTGACTGTTGCCGCCTTTAGGTCCTTCAGGGGAAGTCTAAGTTTGCCCATAATGTCATGGAGATTTTGCTTCCTCATGAAGTCTTTTTGTCATACGATATCAAAGGCTTTTTCGCATAAAAGCTGGTTAGAGTGAGTGTTTTCTTATCTATCCCTTGCCTGTTTGTTTCGAATACCACATTGCCGCGTTATTAGGGATGTATTTTGTGTGAAACCTCTTTTGGGTTTTATTTTGGGTAGGAGTGAGATTATTCTCTGGCCATGGACAGTGTCACACTGATGCCCCCTTAACCCTTAATTGCTAGATAGATTATGGTCTTGTCCCTTTTTAGGCATCAGCCTGATTAGCCCTACTTTTAATGCTAATTGCATAACTGTTCTTTGTATGATGCTGTACAGAAGACTGGCAAAAAACCTAAAGGTCTGATGGCGGGTGAATCATGCTGTCATAACAAGAGGATTCTGAGCCTTGCTATTTAATAGCTTCTTGATAGCCTGTTGTACAATCTGTTTCTTCCAAAATGAACAGGGGTTGGATGTCATTTGATTCGTAATGTCCCTTAATATTTGTGGTTGCCTGTCTGTAATTGAGGTATAATCTTTTTTTTTTTTTGATTATATTATTTTCACATCTATTCCATTTTCACATTGTTTCTATTTTACTTCAATATTTGATCTTTAAAAAAGCATTGTGTGGACATAAAGAGAAACTTGTATAGAGCTCAAGGCGACACATCAACGGATCTAATAACGTGCGTGCAATGCTGCACAGATGGAGACTTCTGCAACCGGGAGGGCTGTGGCAGTATAGGTATTCGAATTTTTCTTTCTTTTTATATAGCATTTAAATTCATGTGCAGACAAAGAAGTGTATAATTTAATAGAATGTGACTAGCGAGATATATTATGATCAGTTCCCCTACATTATGTTTTGAATCAGTTTCAACTAAAGCTTTAGCTTGGCTGTCTGCTGTGTTTGACCAAATGGCATCAACAACTTGTTTGAAATAAAAAGTAGTTTTATGCAAAGTTTCGAGTTTTGTATCATGCAAATTTTAAAACGAGCTACGCAACATTACTCAGTGACTGTTCCTGCTAATAGAAGCTGTCACTATGTTTCCAATGCCACCTTTAATAAAACTTTGTTTACTTCAATGTCGAAAAACAATAAAGTATACCGGATCAGTATCGATGACATAACTCTATCATGAGATTCTTGCAATGAAACAGACTCGGTGGCAAACAACTGTGCACGGACATCATGCTAATGTCTCTTTTCATTTTTTGACACCGTAGTTCGAACTCAGGA